CAAGCCCCTGTGTCCAACCTGGCCTTGAACACTGCCAGGGATGGGGCAGCCACAGCTCCTCTGGGCACCCTGTGCCAGCGCCTCAGCACCCTCACAGGGAAGAGCTTCTCATAGTGAAGAACCAAAGAACATGAATACAACATTCTCTTGTATCTATTGAGGACCAGACCGCGTGTGTAAAGGCACCAGGGTTGCACAGGACGTGCTTTTCCCCCTGCTGCCAAGGCCCTCTACTCCATTCACCACTTTGCTGCTCACTCACCAGACTGGCTTGCTCCTGTCAAGCTTTGCATGATCTCTTCCCGATGTGTTCAGTGCAAAGCCAGCATGGGTGCATGGCAACTCTTCCCCTTCCAACGCGGGTGCACAGCAGGTCAGCACACGGTGCTTCCGTAACAAATGGACCGAGAGCTAACATGAGCGACTGCCGGTAGCGTTGAGGATGCATTTCTGTTGCAGGCTTTTTTAACTGGTCTCTTATTGCTACACATGGTTTGGGTTTGGTTTGGTTGGTTTTGGTTTGTTTTTTTTTTTTTTTCCCTGCTGAATTTTATTAATATTGTTTTTCTTTTTTCCCTTCTTTTGGTAAATTTCTTTAACCTCCCCCCACATTCTGCTCAACCATAGCCATGGAGGGTAAGCAGCGCGCGAGCGTGTGTGTACGTGCCCTGTTCCAAAGTGTCTCTGCATGTGACTTTGCCAATGACTGTTTTAACTTCTCGATTGCTGAAACCAATGACAATCACAGCCTTTCACTGGTGATTGAGGCAATTACAGGGCTCTTCTTCCTAAGGTATATTGGGATCAAGACACTAAGATCGATCACTCTGTAATGATTGTCAGCACCCACTTTGTAAACGCCACAACGTGGAACCACCATGCACTGAGCCCTGCTCTCCTCCCTTAGGCAAAGTTCATCCATGTATGTTATAGTTTCATTGTAGTTTCATCAGGGTAATATCTCAGGTGCTTCTCTGTAGTTAGGACCACTTGTAAGGACCAGTAGTTAACCCAGTGTAGTGGATCTCACATCAACAGGGAGACTGGACACTGTGGGACCAGTAAAAGAAGCAATTTATTAACCACCTGCTCCCACCAAGCAGTTGCTTGGGCAGCTCCTGGTGGTGAAGAGCTGAAGGGAACTGGGGTGCGCATAGTTCTACACTGGAAGTTTTCTGTTTCTTCCCTGGCCCAGGATTATTTTGGTCTGTGTTGGATTTAACTCCAGACAGATCTGGCTCGGTGGGAGCTTTGCATAAGGACTGTGGGATTTTTAACCTATTGAGGTGTTTTTCTCATCTATTAAACTGTGTGAAAACATTTGGTGTTTCCCACCTGTACTGGTGACACCATTATTGTTAATCTGCTGTGAATTTCCACTAACATAACAGTAATATGCACTGCGATGTTCTCTCTTTACTCATCAGTTTAACTGTGTGCTCTGATGTTGTTTTGGAGCACAAAACAACTTCCTGGAACAAGGAGCCCTGATACCCATTGCCTTAGCAGTGCAATTGGCCATCAGTAGTGAATCATAGAATCATAGCATGGTTTGGGTTGGAAAGGACCTTAAGATCATCCAGTCCCAACCCCTGCCATGAGCAGGGACACCACACACTAGAGCAGGTTGCTCCAAGCCCCTGTGTCCAGCCTGGCCTTGAACACTGCCAGGGATGGGGCAGCCACAGCTTCCTTGGGCACCTTGTTGAGCCCCTTGAACATGTCAAGGTCTCCGTACTCCTTGTTCAGAGAAATCCTGGTAAAAGTCCCCCCAGTGTCATTCCATAGATCAGGTTCAGCCAGAACTAAAGGAACCTTCCTTCAGATGCGGGAGCGAGCGGGCTCAGCCAGGACACGGGACCGGGTTGGGGCTATTGGGAATATGAGCCTTTCCCGGTGCTCTGCGGAGGCTGGGAAGTTGCTGAGCCCCATCTGCTGGGCACAGGCGGTTAAACAACCCGTGTCTGCTTCCAGATCCAGCCACAGGAGATCAGCCCTCCTCCCACTGCCAACCTGGACCGCTCCAACGACAAAGTGTACGAGAACGTGACGGGGCTGGTGAAAGCCGTGATAGAAATGTCCAGCAAAATCCAGCCCGCGCCGCCGGAGGAGTACGTGCCCATGGTGAAGGTACGGAGGCAATCCCTGGGATCCACGCTGTGATTCTCTCCCGGATGAGGCCCTCAAGTGACCGGAAAGCTGGAAGTAGAAGAGCTCTGTGTGTGTGTGTGGTCAGAGGGCTGGAGCCTTTACTGTTGAGAGTCTCGTGTGCTTTCATTCCCCACCTTGCCGGTGCTTATCCAGGGGCAGTGAGTTGTGCGTCACCTTCTCTGCATTTCTTTTTCATTGACCCTTTGGTGTCTTGTTTAATGGTGAAACACAGAACTGCAGGTAGGATTTGAAAGTCTCTCATCCCGGTTCTATCTGCCTTCATTCCAAGTTGTTAAAGCTTATTTCCGTGTTCTTCTTCTCCTAGGAGGTGGGTTTGGCACTAAGAACTTTACTGGCAACAGTGGATGAGACCCTCCCCGTGCTTCCTGCCAGCACCCACAGGGAGGTACGTGGGGCTCCTACGGCTTGCACAAAGCCATTAAACAGATCACAGAATTCCAGGTTGGAAGGACCTCAAGGATCATCTGGGCCAAGCTCTCTAGGCAAAACGTGACCCAGACTAGATGGCCCAGCACCCTGTCCCACTGAATCTTGATAGAGTCCAACATTGGGGAATCACCACTTCCCTGGGTAGAGTGTTCCAATGGCTCATTGTTCTCATTGTGAAAGATTTCCCTCTTGTGTCCAGTTGGAATGTCCCCAGGAGTAACTTGTGCCCATCACCCCTTGCCTTTTCCATGTGACTCCTTGTAAAAAGGCAGTCTCCATCTGCTTTGTAGCCACCCTTTAAATACTGGCACGTGGTGATAAGGTCTCCCCTGAGCCACCTATTCTCCAGGCTGAACAAACTCAGAGTGAGCACAGCTTGGTGCAGCTGGAAGGTTTGGATGAGAGAGAATCATAGAATGGTTTGGGTTGGAAAGGACCTTAAGATCATCTAGTTCCAACCCCCCTGCCATGAGCAGGGACACCACACACTAAACTGTGTCACCCAAGGCTCTGTCCAACCTGGCCTTGAACACTGCCAGGGATGGGGCATTCACAGCTTCCTTGGGCAACCTGTGCCCGTGCCTCACCACCCTCACTGCGAAGAACTTCTTCCTCAGATCTAATCTAAACTGCCCCGTTTTAAGTTTAAACCCAGCACCCCTTGTCCTGCCACTACAGTCCCTAATGAAGGTCCCTCCCCAGCATCCTTGTAGGCCCCCTTCAGACACTGGAAGGCTGCTATAAGGTCTCCACGCAGCTTCTCTTCTCCAGGCTGAACAGCCTGTAGATCTTCTGTAGTAACCTAGTTCTGGGTGAAAAGTGACCGAGTATTCAGTTGAGTTTCTCAGCCTGTCTCCACAGGGGAGGTGCTCCAGCCCTTTTATCATTCTCGTGGCCTCCTCTGGACTTGCTCCAACAGCTCCATGTCCTTCCTATGTTGAGGACACCAGAACTGCACCGAGTGCTGCAAGTGGGGTCTCGGGAGAGCAGAGGGGCAGAATCACCTCCTTTGACCTGCTGCTCATGCTCCTCTGGATGCAGCCCAGGACAGGGTTGGTTTCTGGGCTGTGAGCACTCGCTGCTCCTGCTTTAGAGCAGGAGGTGCCAATGTTCCATCTGCTGCTCCACATGGTGCCCACAGAAACAGCCCCAGCTGCAGTCTCAGGGGCTGTGGAGGGAGGGTTGATGGTGCTGTTGCTGCTGGGAGCGAGATGCTTCTGCCAACTTGCAGTTTACTGCCTCTTCTCATTCCAGATCGAGATGGCGCAGAAGCTGCTCAACTCGGACTTGGCCGAGCTCATCAACAAGATGAAGCTGGCGCAGCAGTACGTCATGACCAGCCTGCAGCAGGAGTACAAGAAGCAAATGCTGACGGCTGCTCACGCTCTGGCTGTGGATGCCAAAAACTTGCTGGATGTTATTGATCAAGCCAGGCTGAAAATGATCAGTCAGTCCAGACCGCACTAAAGCACCGAGGGGAGAGTTTCATCCGGGAATTCTGCTTGCGAAAGGATGTCGTTGGCCTTCCACCGGCAGCGAGGATTAACCCAGCATCGGCCTGGCTCTCCAGCGCCTCTTGCTTCAGCAGCCCTCACTGGTGGTTCTCTCTCTCTCTCTCTTGACAAACGTTTAACCAAGTTTTTCTCACAAAGCCAAGCTGGGATCGGGCAGTGGCATCATCACCAGATGAAGTTTGTACAGAGAAGTCCTCGGGAGCCGCGGAGCACGAAGCGGCTCTGCACCACCGCATGGGACACGCTTAGCCTGGAGCTGCCACGGGGCGGTTGTGGCCTCGATGGGAGAGATATTGTGAAGTGAAGAATTCGGGGAAACCTCAGGGCTGAGAATTCTTGCCCACAGTGTATGAACTATCCAGACTGGAATTTTTTTATCCGAACACTTACATCGCAATATGCTAATCACAATTTACAGAGAAAGAATTAAAAGCTATATTTTCAAGACTTCGGTCACTTCAAGACAGAACTAAAAGCCCTCTCTTCATCTTCCTGCCTTTTCCTTTGATGTGAACGTGTGAAGCATTTGGTTGGAACTAGCTGTAGAACACGACTGAAAACTCTTTTTCACCGGAATAACGTGCCAGTTCTTTTGTAGCAATGGTGTTTTCCTTGGAAGTGGAAATGCTGCTTTGTACCAGAGCAATTCAGAGCTGCATTTAGAGGAGTTCTGTAACCATCCATGTCCCCCATTTTTATATAATTTATAAAAGACAGATTAAAGCCATGTTGACTCTTTTAAGCCCACTGTAGTTAAACTAACCCATCCTTTTGTCTATCTTGCCTGGGAGGAGTTACAGTAGAGCAGTGTAATTAGATTTTCCTTGGTTTTTCCAGTTATGCCATCTGTTCTGTTAAAATAAAAACCACACTCCCTTCTCGCTGTTGAGGGATATAAATTATTCTCAGGAAGAATATAATGAACTGTACAGTTACTTTGACCTATTAAAAAGGTGTTACCAGTGACATTCTGACTGTGTTATTTTGTGTGTGTGCATTGCAAGAAACCACTCTGAGTTTCCTCTCCGTGGAATTCATCCCCCACCCAAATGCACAAGCATTTAACAAGTCACTTGTGCAGGGCTTGAGGAGCAACAAACAATAAGCTTTTGAGGAGGAAATCCAAAGTGTTTTCCTGAAAGCACCTTTTCCTCCAGCCGTGGAGCACAGGAACAACTCCTTGTCATCACCTAAGTCACTTGTAATGACTTGGTGGCTCTCCTTTAGACTTCTAAAGTCAGTTTTCCTATGGGGAGGTTTCCCAGGAAGGGTTGGGGCATGTCTGCAGGCCTGCCTGGAGGCTCGGTGGAGTTCCCAGCAGCAGCAGGGGGCGGCTCCTTCATCTGCTCCCCTGCACGTGCACCCACGTTAAGAGACAAAAAGTACAATCCAATGTTCTTTATTATGGACAGGTACAAAACTAATTAGTCAAAAAGACCAAAGCCCATGTCATCATCAGATTCCTCTGATTCTTCTTTCTTTTCCTCTTCCTTCTTTTCCTCGGCTAGAAGAAAAGAATGGAGTCAGCATTTTCTCACACACGTCACATGCATTAAGACTTCATACACAGTGGCTGTAACAAGCAGCAGCAAGGCCTGAGCAATCCTAACAAACAACTGAGGGGGCCAGTGTTTCCCCTCCCAGGGAAGGGGGTTTCTGCCTTCAACATTCACGTCTATGAAAACTGACAAGCCTTAGAGAAGCTCACGATGACAGCCTTAACTGAGGTCATCCTGTACGCTCAGTAAGTGCAATTCCGGCCTTTCTGAAGGCGAGGCTCTGTTCTGAACACCCGTGTGCACACTACGAAGCACCAACCACATCAAGGTTCCAAGAGGAAGAGCCAAGCTGCTCTCGAGCTGCCCGCAAGCAGCTTCCCAACCCAGCACTTCCAGC